ATCACTCTGTTCTTAATTCTTATAACATACATGTACAGTACAGGAGTTACAATTTATAATGTTACAAATTATAATAAGAGATCCCGGTAATCAAAACTGAGATATTGGCACTGTTGGGAAGAAAAGCTTTGTTTTTAGACATGTGCTAGATAGGGACACAGTTGGTGGTATAGATGTGAATGCTATTTCTGGAACACTTAGCTTGTCGAAGGAAAATGAGAGAACCTCAGTGCTATAGTTGTGAGTGAGAATTCTTTAAAACAGGATTTTATAAAGAAAGTAACGTTCCGACATGTTGAGCTTCTGAATGTTAACTATCTGGGAGATGGTGCTTTAAAAATGTAATATGAGAATATTCAACATAATATTAACATGGAGTTAGTTGCATAGGAAGCTTTTGTCCTTATAACTTGTATAGTGTAGGTAAAACTTCTAAATCTAAGCACTGTGACTTGCAAATGATATTTTTTTACTTTTAGATGTGACTTTACTTATGAAACTTTCTGGATTAACACATTTGGAAACTGAAGTCCTCTGTATATCCACAAGATAAGCAGAGACAATACAAGTTTTAGACTATGACCCACCAATAGGCCTAACTCCTGATTGAGGATCTATGGAGGGTAGTTCAGTCTTAAGTTTATTAAATCTTTGACCTCTGTTTGACACTGTCAACAAGAGTGCCAGTAGCAGTGGGTTTTTATGTCCTAGAGTCTTCTCAGTGTCTTGTCTTTCAGCTAATCTCTACGTCTCTCCCCATGTCCAGTCTCTCTAGCCAATCTGCTTCATTCTCTGCATTTCTATATTCTGTTCTTTCCTCTTCTGTCCCCTAAAATCCTTATTATTCCTTAGCCATCTTTCACCTTCTGTAATCTCCTCCTCTGACCAGCCCTGTTACACAGCCACCTTTCCATGCTGAAATGGAATAATGGGATCAAATCTATATCCTGTCTTATGTAGGAGGACAGACTAGATGCTTAGAAAGATCACTTCTGGCCTTAAAATCTATGCTATGTTTGCTCTGTGAGTTCTTTCACTGCCTTCGCTCACCCTTGAATCAAGCATCTTGTACTTTCCTTCAGGATCCTGTATGAGTCCGTTCTGCCTACACCTCTCGTGTCTCATTCTCAGACCCCATTCTCCCTCTTTTTCTGCTAAGTTCCCCCCCTCCCCTCCACCAGTGCAAGAAGCTGAAGCATATTAGTGTTAGGTTATGTGATGAGGGGTCTCACTGTGTTTCTCTGCTCTTGTTGAATGCTAGTGTGGGGATTGAAGTTTAGGACTTTATAGTTGCCATTTAGGTCCCAATGTTACTGAGCTGCTGCCACTCCGTAAATACCAACTTTATCCTTTGGTTTGAGTGGTTTTCTTGATGCACATAAGTGCAGAATGATGTGACCTATAGTTTTGTCTCCACTTCATACCTTAGATGTTCTGCAGAGCTATCCATCTCTAACAGCACATTAAGTCTTTTCTCTTTGGAAAACTTTTATTGTTGAGATGCTTAGTTTTTTATCCAAATTTATAATCCCCACAAAAATCAAAGGTACTTACTATTTTTTCAGCAGTCTCCTACAACATGTCTCATGTTTCAGGCTCAAATTTTTTTCCATGCTTTCGAAAGGGCAAACTCACTCAACAGGACGCCCCTGCTTCATATGCTAATAACACAAATATAAAATGTTGAGGGCATTATAGGATGTCTCATCTGATCCTTATTCTATCAGTAGATACAGTGAGAATAAGAAATGTAGATAAACTTAATTGTGTATTTCTGTAACTAAGAGTTAATTTTAAATGTTGCCCATTGGCCAGTGTGAATATGTATGAGGAAATGAAAACTTTTTCAATGACAAGTAATAGCTCTCTTGTCTCCAATCTGATTTTTAAAAAGTGTTGGCTCAAATTATGGTCTGTGATGATCATGGTCTTTAGAAATCCATGCACAATTAAGCCTGCCTCTTAGAAGTCAATGGCAACACCCCATGGCCCTTGGTGTTCTGTAGGGTAGATAACGATGCTTCAATTTCTATTCTTCTCCCAGAGGACACAAGTCACCCAATAATCATGGTATGATCTGTCATCAGTGAGGAAAAAAGTTGCTGTTGAGGAGAGATTTTAGCTATGATCATAGTAACTTGGTTTGTTAATGATAGTAGTCTTTCATTGGATATAGTTTGCAATTTAGTGGGAACCAAGAGTCTTTGAAAATGACTCATAATTGAATGGCCCTCCGGGAAACAAGGGAAGCTCTGACTTCTGCTTGTATGAGGTGATGGTATGTCCAAGATAGTAGCTTCTTAATAATGATCTCAAAGGCCATGTCTAGTCTGAAGATGTCTAGCTAATTGCCGCCTTGCTTCCTGTGAGGTAGGCAGCTATTACTATCCTGCTACAGTAGGAGAAACTCAGACAGAAGTGAAGTGACTTGCCCAAGATCACATGCTGAATCATTGGCAGAGCTGGGATAGAACAATGAATTCTTGTTTTCTTTTCTGCACCATGCAGCCTTTCCTGTAAATCAGAATTTTCGTGTTTGCATAGCTCAAAGAGAACAGAGGCTAGACAGTTCAATCTGGGTTTATTTATATTTTATGTTGACACATAAAATAATCCAAGTTTGGAGGAAGCCAATTCAGGAGATTATAGTATTCAACATTCTACTTTGCTAGTTTTGTGATGTGCATGAGAAGCAATGATATCACATTAAGGCTGAGAAAATAAGACCTTAACAGTCAGGAAATCTCAAACTGGTATTCTCTGCTGTTAGCTCTGTCCTGTGGTATGCTGGTTCAGATTCTAATCTTTACAAAGAAGTAACTGAGCTGTCTTTGGCCCTCTGCGTGTAGCATTTTCTATTCCTGGTTTTCTTCTCAAACTTCAGTCCTGTCATGATGATTAATATGTACCACAAAATAGATGCTATGCAAAGTGGGTGAACTAATGTTGCAGGAGAAACCTCTGCTTTTAGATTTTCCTTATTTGGCGTTTTTGTTTTCTTGACTCTAATATGATGTTAATGATATTTTGAAGGCAGCAAATTTTACGTGTGTATCATGTAAACAATAGAATGTCCTGCAAAGTGCTTTCTCCTTAGACATCTAAATATGATTTTAACAAATGCAGTATTGTCTGATAGCAGCTTGCTTTGTTTCTGAAACAAAAACTTCCATAAGAGTAATTTCTCCCATACCCCCAACGTGGACTGTAAACCTTATCTATGTTCCGTAGCATCAGTTTTAAACTGAAACAGTCAGCTGGAGATGCAGTTGTTCTTCATTGTGTTTTTATTATGAAATATTTGCTTTAATTTCAGAAATGTTGTATACCTTTTGGATCAGACTTGTCCATGCTTTTCTGTATGTATTCCTTGTAACTTCACACCCAGACTATCGAACTGGTGACATTTTATAAGTCACTGATCTGCAAATAGACTATATCTCATGAAATGTAGTCGTCTTTGCCTTGTCTAACTTTTTCTTTCATACCTGCAGAGTGTAGATAATAAGAATCAAATGTTTTTCATTTTCCCTACCTCCCTTATGGACTGTGCAATCTGGAACTAACTGAACTTTAGAGCTTGACAGAAAGTGTTAGAAGAACATTTTGTCCATTTTGATCTCCAGCTTATGGTTGACACTTTTTGCTGAGTATACTCTTGACATAACTGTTCTGTATTGAGGTGTAAGAGGAAGATAATTTTTTAAAAAATTGTAAAATGTTCATTTGGTAACCAAGGAAAACCGCTTTCTGTTCCAAACCTGGATTTGTGCCAGTTTGACACACTTTTTTTTTTTTTCTCCTTCCACTTAAAAAAGCTATTAAGGTACACCTTGGATAAACGAGGTCTGCAGCGGGTGAAGATCATAGCCAGTGATAACATGTGGGAGCCAATTTCCTTTTTCATGATGGTCGATTCTGAGCTCCATAAAGTGGTTGATATCATAGGGTAGGTCACTCTTTTTTCTTTTTTATGAAGCCTCTTTCTTGGTAGCCTGCTCTGATCATGTATTTCCACTGGTTGCACATATATATCTTCAGAGGTAGCGTTTGCTGGGAGCTTTGGCTTTGCTAAGCTCTCACCAAAGGTTTGATACCTTAACCTTTCTTGCTAAATAATGTACTCTGTCAGGTGTAGGGAGGTGATCATTAGAGCTTTGTGTACTAGCCTGGTTCCTTTCAAGTTTCACCTGAGTTTTCCATCTGAGTGGACTTAGCCTTAAAATCTGCTGACCGTTGCATGCCCAATCAATTCAGTCATAGACCCAGGCCCCTTCTCTGGCTAGCCCTGCCTATTTTGGGGGATGTTTGGAACTCCTACAGTTGGTGCACAAAACATGCTTTGACACCCCCCTCTTGCAAATATTCTGCTATGGCTGGTTTCCCCTAGGGTCTACGCTGGCAAAAACTGTCATAGACCATAGGGTGAATTGAGCCTTATGACTTCATCTGTGATTCAACTAGCAATGCTTGATTCAATTAATCTGCTGAGTCTCGTTACTGGTTTAGGTTAGGAAGGCAGGGTTTGTTCATGCGGAGGCCGATATGACCATCGGACGCATGGACATGTTTTTCTAGTTGAGTTTCATTGGATACCAGGGTGTTGTCTCAGAAGCAGAAAATTAAAATTAACTACAGACCTGTATTGATTCTCCAACACTGGCAATTTTAAAATCAAGATTAGATGTTTTTCTGAAAGATATGCTCTAGGATAGTTGGGGGACGGGGGAAGTTCTATGGCCGAGGCTGTCCAGGCTGTCAGACTAGATTATCAGAATGGTCCCTTCTGGCCTTAGTATCTATGAATCATCTAACAAGTGAAGATGTAAAACTACTGTAAAAAGGGCTAAAATTATCAGCATGTGTTCATCTTACGAGGAACCTCTGGAAGTGCCTTTTCTTTTTAAGCTTGATATTACTGTTGACTTACTCAAGCTGCCATTCCCTGAAGACAAATAATAACTCTGTTTTTAATACAGAGTCTTTGGAAGTAAAGGCATCAAATGTTTCTTAGTAGCTATTAATTTAAAATACATTATTGTGAAAATGTCTATGGGTGGAATTGGCAGCTTGAGGCTCATGTTAACAAACCTGTTCTTCTGAAGTATCAGAGGGGTAGCCGTGTTAGTCCGGATCTGTAAAAAGCAACAGTGTCCTGTGGCACCTTTAAGACTAACAGATGTATTGGAGCATAAGCTTTCGTGGGTTAATACCCACGCATGCGTCTGACGAAGTGGGTATTCACCCACGAAAGCTTATGCTCCAATACATCTGTTAGTCTTAAAGGTGCCACAGGACTCTCTGTTGCTGTTCTTCTGCGAGTATATAAGGTTGAATAAATACAGTACATCATTTCAGAAAAGTCTGCTTTCCTAGTCATTCTATCTGAGTTGGGTTAAAGTGGATTAGATAATCAAGATGAGAAAGTTGAAGGGTGGTAAGAAACAAAAAAAGGCTATTATCCTAGTTAAAACTTAAACTTTCTTATAGGATGATATTGCATAATTAAGACTTCAAGTTTTGTGCAAATAAGCCAATTTTGTAAAGCCTCCTCAGAATAGAATTTTTCAGACATTTTTTATGACTTTAAATATTCCGTAGCAATGTTTTGCAGCCTGTATATCACAATATTGTGCTAGTGCATGGAAGTCAAAAAGTAAAATAAGCTAGTCCATTTTCTGTCCAATAGTGAGAAGTGCAAAAGGCAAGCAGCATAAATAGTAAATCTGGAAAATCTAGTTTAATTTTTGTTCACTGTAGATTACTGTTAATTCCACCTTCTGTTATATGAGATTTATTTCCTAAAAATTATTTTTTTTACCTTGTTGCTCTAACTGGGATTTAATTTAGTTCTCTCATGCAAAACTTCTGCCACTCACTGGACTGTTTTTCTATGGGAGTGCTATTAGTCCATCACCTACTATACAAAGATATATTTAATGTTAAAATGCTTGATAATATCTAGACATGTATTATAGTAGAATTTAGGTACCTTGGTCATGGATCCAGGACCCCATTGTGCTAGGCACTGTGCAAACACAGAGCAAAAAGATTGTCCCAGTGTTTCTTGAAAAATGCAGCACTCAATACATTGCTCCTTCTTGTCTGAAAGATGTGGTTTTTAAATGGAAGGGGGCAATGAAAATACTACTTAGCCAATGGCTGTGGAATGGAGAATGAATGTCAAAAGCAAGATCAGTTTCCCTCCTTTATTAAAAACATGATGTTGTTAGTATCATTCTGTTTTACTTCTGTATAGCCTTTTCAAAACTCATTCCTTCTGCCAATACTTCATGCTGGCGTGTTAATTTCCCATCATCCTACATCCTATGTACTGGCCTTGTCCTATCTCTTCCCTCCACATACTTTCCATTTCTTCTACAATGTGTCTGCTAAAATAATATCTTCAGAGGATTCTTACCATCTCTCCCCTTACTGGAATTTTGCAGTGCCTTTTCCTCTTTGGCATTGAGCTAACATTCAGAATTCTCTGGAACTCCATTCCTATCTACCTCTCACTACCTGCTCTCCATCCAAGCTTCTCTCTTGTCTTCCATTGCCCACTCCTGCTACTATACTTCCTCTTCTTCCATATGTTTGGAGCAGCTTCCCTGTTAAGGTGTCTCTAGTTCTTTGCTCCTGTAAAATAAGTCCTAAAATCTTACCTATTCTGTTAAAGCATCCCAGTTATATACGGATCACTCCTAACTTTAGCCTGTAGGGCTCAAATTCTCTGCTGCCACCCAGAGATGGGGAGAAGCTGAGAAGGAGGAGAGATATCAGGGAGCTGGTTATGACGTTGTAACACTTTAACCTAGTGGTCCCCAAACTGAGGTGTGGCCCCCCGAGAGGGAGCGGGGGCACAGCAGGGCCTGGGCCAGCCTCCCCAAGGGTCAGGGAGGAAGCACCACACCCAGCCCTGCTTCGCCCTCAGCTCTGCTCTGGCTCCGCTTCTGGCCCCAGCCTGGGCCCGACCATGGCCTGGCCACGGCTTCCACTGCTGGCCCCTAGCATTGGCCCCCAGCTCCGCTTCCAGCCCTGGCTGTGGCCCCAGCCTCGGCCCCTTTACCTGTCTGTGCTCTTCCCCCCAGGAGCCGTGGCCCCCCTTCCGGCCCCGGCTTGGGGGTGTGTGTGTGCGGACACAGGTAAGGTGAGGTGAGACTGTGAAAAGTTTGGAGACCACTGCATTAACTAGTTTTATACAATCCACAGCACCTAACCCCCACCACACACCGGTCTGCTAGCTAGGGGTAGCTGCAGAGCAGTATGCTGTGGCCGTGTCCCCTGTATTGGAGCATGCTCAGGGGCGTTCGGGGGTGGGAAGAGGTGGGGGTGGCATAGGAACCAGCTGTTCTAGCTCTAAGGCTGTCGGGGAATCTACAGAAGAGATGGGAACAGCTTGTTCTGCTGAGGAAGTTGGAAGATGTGAAGAATCTGGCCTTTTGCTCCCTGTGAAAGGAACTTGTTCTGTGGCACAGTGCACCTCTTGCTGTGTGCCATATACCTTATTTGTCAGGTCAGTGTAGCTGAGGTGCTCGGGTGGAAAGGATAACTTAAAAGAAGATTGCAACCCAGTCTAGTGTCTTCATAAGTTTTAAAGTAGTGATGGATTCAGCAGACTGAGGGCATATTGAAGGGCTATTCTGATGGTGAATGCTTATTTGGTGCCATTAGATGTTTAAAAACTGGTGCTTGGCAGTGTGAGTGAATCGGCTAATTACTGTAGCTATAAAAAGTCAGCCCATGGGGTAATGAGGCTTGAGCTGCGGCCTACTCTATGTGGAGTCATTTAGATCTTAATAAAAAAAACCAAAGCACCTAGGGTACAGGTAGTGTCCGAGGAGCAGAGAGTTCATGATTATTGCTCATTCACTGGCATCTGGGGGGGGGGGGGGGAATCCCCCCCCTTCCCGTTTTGGGGGGGACTGCTCCACTTAAGCACACAGTGAGGGAGGGGGGGGGGGGGGGGGGGGGGGGTTGTCTGACAGGATGTGGGCTGGAAGTGGAGCAAAGCTGCTCATAAATATGTTCTGAAAATGGTCTTTCTGCCCTTTTTGCAAGACCCAGTTTCAGCTACTTCTTTTTTAACCTTAACCCTTTGGTCATCCCCTCTTCTTAATGCTCTCCTCTCATTTCCATTATTTGATTATTGCACCTCTTACACACACACACACACACACACACACACACACACACACACACACACACACACACACACACACACCCACACACACACACACACACACACACACACACACACACACACACACAC